TAATATTATTTATTCCTAAAGCAACCATCTCTCAAAGATTTTCTCGAATGTGACATAGTACAACTATACCTCAATAGAAAGCTCGTTCAGCCGACAACTCATTTCTTAAAGAATTGAATAGTTAACTCGACCGAAGAGTTTAACAACATAAATGAATGAGAAGTTTCTACTAAACTGGTCAACAAGTTCTAGCTTCAATTATGAGCTCGAGGTTTTAAGAAACCTAATGTTAGTTTTCCTCAATAGTAAGCTAGTTCAGTAGGCAGTTCATTTCTCGAAGCACTTAAAAAGTCAATCCTCGAATCTATGGTACCCAGTAGGTATCATAGGCTGACTAAGCATGGGAAGTAAATACATAATCTAACGCAAGTAGTAAATATTATATCAAGGAGGCAGAGGAAAGGAACAATAGCGATAAACCTAACTATGAGCCTCAACAGTTCGACATAAAATGAAAAGATAAAAGTAAACCAATTAATTATAAAACAAATTAGACTCCCATTAATCCATAAGCTAAGGTACATTCGTGCACAAGTGAAATGAAAATAACCCAAATGGACATCCAGAATATTGATGAGTACACGGGAGAGCTCAAGTTATTCCTTGTTAAGACTAGATATATTCCAAGCTGGAGAGACCGTAACCCACACACAAACCGTGACTAAGTGTAACGATCCAAAAAAATTATATAAATAAGAATAAATAGGTATTTAAGGGCATAATGGTCATTTCACGTTTTAAATGAATAAATAAATAAATAAATAAATAAAAACATATTTGTATTTATTTATTTTCAATTTTTGTTTGACTAATTCTTGAATTAGTCTCCTAATCCTAATAGTTTTCTCTCTCTCACGCTTCTTAACTCTCTTTCTCACGTTCTCCATCTTCCTCACATTATTTCTGCCAAATATCAACAGTTCTTCATGCTTGAAGAACTCACATAAAATTTTTAGAAAAACAAAGCAATCAAAAAAATATTAAGGCGGAGGGCTGATCCAACTACAGAACAAATACAGACATAAACATAAAAAGTACCGCACAGAGCGCCCGCTCTAAAAAGCTGCCCTCCGACATTCATCCTTCAAACTACCCACCAATCATCCAACACAACCAACTATTCATAAAAGAGAAATGAATTACAGAAATCAGTGAATGAAATAAGGCGGAAAAAAAATGAGTGGTGTGGACGTTGAAGTAACTTGGACTGACTTTTGGAGAGAATTTTGGGTAGCGAATTCTTCGTTTGAACATCAATAAAGGTATGGGTTTCTCTCATGGAATTCTTTCTCCAGGAGTACTTTCTTTCGAACGTTTCTTAAACTCTTGAAACTAAGGTTGGTCCCCCTTCGTATGTCCTTGTCCTTAGCTCCCTAACGAATTTGTAGGATGGGTATGTTGTGCTGCTAAATTCTTGCATGAATGATGTGTTTAAATTTTGTGTCTTTCGGAAAGTATGAAAGTATATATGTGTGTATTTGTGCAAGATTTTGACCATGACTTTAAGTCTTTCTTTAGAATGTTAATAGATTAGAAATTACTCGTGTTTTATGTGCAAATAGAGGCTCATAAAAGCTTGATGTTCACTTGGTTGAAAGTTAGAAATTTTAGTTAAACAAATGACCAAATCATAATTTTAACTTGTCTTAAGAATCCTAACGAACAACAAATAAAGAGGCGCTTAAAAGTTCCGTAAATCGCTTCATAAAAATGTGTAACAAAGTCCCAGAATCTGGAAATTTGCTACAGGTGAAATCTGGAAATTTTGGGTGTAAAAAACATAAAAATAAAATAGGTGAGGTCTGCAGAGATCGAACCCAGGACCTCACCAACGCCTGTTTTTTTTTTTTAAAAAAAAAAAAGCGCGCTAAGAGGGATTCGAACTGGGGGCTGGGAGCAGTGAATTTTCGCTAAAAAGAAAAAAAATGGGGCTGGAGGGAATCAAACCCTCGCCCCTGTCTTGTGCGAGGAAAAGGAAAAGAAAAGGGAGCTGGGGGGATCGAACTCGCGACCCCCAGCCACGCGCGAAAAGAAAAAAAAAATTAAAAAGGGAATGCTGGGGGCGGGGATCGAACCCACGACCTCAGAGCTGAAGGGGTGGTAAAATATTAAGGGAATAAAGGTGAGGCTATGGGGGTTCGAACCTACCACCTCATAGCCTCCATTCCCAGTCAAAATAAGTGAAAAATAAGGGGGGGCTGTGGGGGTTCGAACCCAAAACCTCCCTATTCAAGCGAATTTTAATATATATATATATATATATATATATATATATATAATGAATTAAAATTCTAATTAAAGTTTGAAGATCAATTCTTTTATGAAAATATTGAGATTTAAATTAGAATTCTAATTAAAATAGAAAATTTATTATGTCATGAAAATGTTGAGATTTAATTTAGAGTTCTAAATTTATGAGTATTAGAATTAAAATCAATGAAAAATATAAATGATATCCAAATAATTCAAGATTTGGGTTCCCGTGTCCAAACCTCCGTATTGATACATAAGTCATACGTGAGTAAAATATTCAAGAATGATGTCATCTACTTAGATCAAAAATCAAGATCTTGGTATATCTAGAAGATACATAAGTCTTGTAATACATAATCTTAGGAAAATAAGAATCACTTAACGAACTATTAATGAAGCCCAATGGCTTGTATGTATAGACACATAAGTTTAACATACATTCAAAAATAAGTGAACCTAAGATATACGTAATGAAATGAAGAATGTGGTGACAACCATGATGTGAGGCTAATGTATATGATGAGAGCAATCTTAAATAAGCCTAAGTGAATGTTACCAATACATACTCGCCAATGAGAGTGTAAGATAATGAAGAGATCAGTCTCGATGAACACTCTAATGACAATATTGAGTTTAAAACACTTAATACTAATAATGAGATGAGAAATCATCTTTTGAGCTATGATGTCCTCATACTAGAAGTCAACTTCCATGATGTATGAGTTGAATGTAATGGAACTTTATACAGAGCACCAATAGGCTAGCTATGAGCGGTGATGCCTTCTTTCGGGAAGGGCGGAGGTTCACGTAACTCTCATGAGATGAGACTGTCCGGCTTGCCGGGTATAGGTCTCCATACATCTCCTAGTCTTTGAACCTATATTGCCACTATAGGGATCTGGTGGGGTTAAATTCCCATATACACTAGCATGTTATTGAATCACTTTGGCCGGTGATTCCACCTCTTTTCGGTGTGGGGGAGACACTGGATTTCATGATGCTCACATAATTTATGTCGGTTAAAGTTAAAGTTCCCAATGAATGAATGAGGCCATCCTCAAATGAATCACATAAAGAAATGAATGATACCGAAGGTGTTTGGATAGGATAATCAAGAGGTGAGCTAGATTCAGGTAATGACATTAGGTTATTCCTAATCATTGCACAGCAAACCCGATGAAAGCCTTAAACTACATTCTAGGTATAGCTGGTGTTCGCACTGGCCTATGAATGAATTGAAATGAAATACGTATGAAGCAGACTCTGTGTTTGCTAAAGAAGGCTCCCTAGTTGAGATCTCATATGTTGAACCCTCATTTTGGGAAGTCTTAAAGTTAAGTCTATGATAATAAGGTCTCATGGTATATGAATGAATAATATGAAAGAAAGTATGTGTTATATGTTATGTTCTATAAGAAGATGTTATGTGTTGTGTGCCATACGATAATTATAATGATGCATGTCACTCTCATGGCATAATTTTCCCAATCTCAATTTAGCAAGTCCACTGACTTGACTTCCAAACATCATGTTGTTAGGAAAGAGCTATTCTTCCTCATGCATGTCCCTGGTGTGTGCTTGCATATACCCATACTTAGTACAAGTGTGTACTAATTCCATACAAACATCTACATTTAGGTGCAGGCACAGGTGGACGGTAGAGCGACATGTTCGTGATTGCAGCTATCCGGACGTCGGCATTCATCCGGAGTTTGGTAGGTCGTCATACTTCGAGGATTCTACTGTTTTACATTCTAGCGTAGTTTAAAAGTTGAGCTAGTGGAGCATGTTCCACTAGCGTTTCTTTCCTGTTTTGGTTCAGACTTTGTATTGGTGCTATTTTGGCCGATATACAATTAATACTTAATGAATTATTTCTTTCAGTTGCTTATCTCTTAAATGTTAGATGGTTGATGATGAACGATTACGAAATATAAAGAATGTTTATCAAGTATGATTAAGGAAATCAAAAATTTCAAATTTTCCGCTAAAATTAACCTATGTAAGGTAAGAATGACGTAAGTAGGCTTGTTTGCAACCTCTGAGAGGTCAACGACGCTAGTCTCCTCTGGGGTCTAGATCCCAGTTGTGACAAAGTTGGTACCAGAGCGCTAGGTTAAACTCCTTGAATAATGAGTTCACATCAACCACATTGAGTAGTTTCTAAGTCATGGTAGTGAAGTGCACCACTATCCTGGATTAGAGACTGCATGATGCGTAGAAAAAACTTCCCTTCTTCTGATCTTATTGTGCTTTTCCTATTGTTTGAATTTTTGGTGTTACAAACGTGTCTAACATCAACCTTGTTGTTTTTAGAGAATGAACACTTTGAGAACTAAGGGTCTGAGGACGGGAGCAGCAGCAGCTAGGGGTAATCAGAATCCACCCCAGGCTCCAGCTGAAGGAGTGGCCATGCTAGTTAACCCAGCTAGGTTGACTGATGCGGAGGTGAGGGCATCTCTAGCCCAGATGGCACAGGCCATCACGATGCATGCCCAAGCTATGACTGCCCAAGTCAACCGGCAGGATGTTCAGAGGGAAAATCCACCGGTTCGCAGCATGGCTGACAGACTGCAAGACTCACGAGGATGAATCCTCAAATTTTCACAGGTGTTAAGACTTCAGAAGATCCTCAGGAATTTATAGACGAGTTGCATAAGATACTGGTGGCCATGGGGGCCACTGATATTGAGAAGGCTGAGCTGGCTTCCTACCAGCTCAAAGATGTTGCATAGACTTGGTGCAAAATGTGGCGAGATAGCTGTATCCTAGGAGGGGTGCCAGTCACCTGGGAGTTGTTCAAGACAGCATATTTGGAAAGGTTCTTCCCTAGAGAGATGAAAGAGGCCAAGGTTGAGGAGTTCATCAACCTTAAGCAAGGATCTATGACGGTAAGGGATTATTCCCTGAAGTTTGTGAAGCTATCAACGTATGTTACTTCCCTTAGTATTTGATAACAAGAATGATGAGAGTACTTAACTTTGTTCAAATTATCCAGGTATGCTACTTCCTTGGTTTCGACAAGAAGGAATGAGATCAGCAGGTTCCTCACAGGAATCAATGGAGACCTGCAGGAAGAGTGTCGGGCTGCGATGCTCCATGATAATATGGACCTTTCTAGATTAATGGTGCATGTCAAACAGGTAGAGGACAGCTGAAAGAGGAGAGGTGTATGTGATGTTAGGAGGCCTAGGCCTCAAGATCAGGCAGGTCCCAGCCATGGAGGCCATAGAAACAATTTTGGCGTCCGCGAGCAGCCCAAATTCAAGAAAGGGCAACAGAGTGCTGGTAATTCTGACCCTCAGAGAAATACAACACCTAGAGGAGGTAGACCCGAACCCAAGAGGGGCAATGGAGGTGAGATGCAGCGTCCAAAGAAGACTTGTACTAAGTGTGGCCGAACTCACCTTGGAGAATGCAGACAGGGCACTAATTCCTGCTTTGGTTGTGGTAAGAGTGGACACATGGTCAGAGACTGTCCCCAGAACAGAGGTCAGGCTGGGGGTAATGCTCAGCCTAGGCCTGTCCCACAGAGTGCAGCAGCAGCCGAGCCTCCCAAGAGGAACAGATTTTATGCCTTGAAAGGTAGGGAGGAGTAGGAGAAGTCCGCTGATGTGGTCACAGGTATGCTGCAAGTATTCTCAACTTCTGTTTATGCTTTATTGATCCGAGGTCTACGCTTTCCTTTGTGACTCCTCTACTTGCCCTTACTTTTGAAATACTACCTGAAGTTCTGCATGATCCTATAGTGGTTAGTACGCCTTTAGGAGAAAATGTGAGAAATGATAGGGTATACAAGAATTGCCCAATAGTTGTGAGTGGCAAGCCTATGTGTGCAAACTTGATTGAGTTACCCATGCATGATTTTGATATTATTCTTGGCATGGACTGGCTTCACAACTATTATGCTTGCTTGGACAGTCGTAGTAGGGTGGTGAGGTTTTGCTTTCCTAATGGAGAAGAGTTAGTCTGGGAGGGGTACAATCCGATTCGTCTGAACCCCTTGATTTCAAATCTAAAGGCCAATAAAATGATGGCCAAAGGGTTACTATGTCATCTAGTGAGTGTTAATGATTTAGACCATGACGTTCCTTCCATAGACTCGGTGCCTGTAGTAAATGAGTTCCTAGATGTATTTCCTGAAGATTTGCCTGGAGTCCCTCCCCTTCGAGAGATTGACTTTGGTATCGACTTAGAACCTGATACTAAACCAATCTTAATTCCTCCTTATAGAATGGATCCAGCAGAACTCAAGGATTTGAAGCTACAGTTAAAAGATCTCACTGATAAGGGTTTCATTCAGCCGAGCATATCCCCTTGGGGAGCTCCAGTGTTGTTTATAAAGAAAAAGGATGGGACCCTTAGAATGTGTATAGATTATCGGCAGCTCAATAAAGTCACTATAAAGAATAAGTATCAACTTCCCAGAATTGATGATTTGTTCGATCAGCTCCAAGGGTCTTGTTTCTTCTCTGAGATTGATCTTCGTTCAGGGTATCATCAGCTTAGGGTTAGGGATGGGGATGTCCCAAAAATAGCTTTTCGTACACGTTATGTTCATTATGAGTTCTTGTTTATGTCATTCGTTCTCACGAATGCACCTGCTGCATTTATGGACCTCATGAACAGAATCTTCCGTGAATACCTTGACTCTTTTGTCATAGTATTCATTGATGACATTCTTATCTACTCTAAGACCAAGGAAGAGCATGAACAGTATTTGAGACTAACCTTGCATGTACTTAGACAACATCAGTTGTATGCCAAATTCAGCAAGTGTGAATTCTTGCTGAGATCAGTGACCTTCCTGGGCCATGTTGTGTCCAATCAAGGTGTAGAAGTGGACCCCAGAAAGACTGAAGCTGTTAAGAACTGGCCAAAGCCTCTTAATCCCACAGATATTCGTATTTTTCTGGGATTGGCTGGTTACTACCGCAGGTTCGTGGAGGGATTTTCTTCCATTGCTGCCCCACTTACAGCCTTGACAAAGAAGAAATCCAAGTTTGAATGGACGGAGACTTGTGAGAAGAGTTTCCAGGAGCTCAAGGACAGACTCACTTCAGCCCCGGTGCTTACTCTGCCCAAGAGTGGAGAGAACTACACTGTCTATTGTGATGCATCTAGGGTTGATTTGGGATGTGTTCTTATGCAGGATGGTAAGGTAATAGCGTATGCTTCCAGACAGCTCAAGGTTCATAAAAAAATTATCCCACTCATGACTTGGAGTTGGCAGCAGTGGTGTTTGCATTGAAGTTGTGGAGGCATTATCTGTATGGAGTACATGTGGATGTGTTCACGGATCATAAGAGTCTCCAGTACGTGTTCACGTAGAGGGAGCTGAATCTACGGCAACGCAGATGGTTGGAGCTGCTGAAGGATTATGACATTAATGTGCACTACCATCCAGGTAAGGCTAATGTTGTGGCTGATGCTTTGAGCAGGATGAGCATGGGGAGTACAGCCCACGTGAAGGATGAGAAGAAGGAGCTAGTGAAAGAGGTACACAGACTGGCCAGACTGGGTGTGCGGTTGGTTGACTCTACTAGTGGAGGTGTTTCAGTTCACCCTAGTTCTTAATCATCCCTGATAGTGGAAGTCAAAAAGGGTCAGCATCTTGATCCTGTGTTGATGGAGATGAAGGACTCAGTGTTGTTAAAAATGAACGAGTCTTTTGCTTTGGGAGATGATTACATACTTAGATACCAGAACCGGTTGTGCGTACCAGATGTAGATGATTTACATACAAGGATTGTTATAGAGGCCCGTGGTTCTAGATATTCCATACATCCAGGTTCCACAAAAATGTATCATGATCTTAAGCAGATTTATTGGTGGGATGGCATGAAGAAGGATATTGCAGACAATGTGGCTAAGTGTCCTAATTATCAGCAGGTTAAGGCAGAGCATCTTAAGTCTGGTGGTCTAACTCAGATTATTGAGGTTCCGACTTGGAAATGGGAGGCCATTAATATGGACTTCGTAGTTGGTCTTCCGAGGACTAGGAGGCAGCATGACTCTATATGGCATATTGTTGACATATTGACTAATTTGCCCACTTTATCCCTAAGAAGTCTACTTACAGGGCCGAGGATTACGCGAGACTCTACATTGATGAGATTGTGAGATGGCATGGGATTCCTTTGTTTATTATTTCAGATAGAGGAGCTCAGTTTACTTCGCATTTTTGGAGATCTTTCCTGAAAAACTTAGGCACGTAGGTGAAACTTAGCACTGCCTTTCATCCTCAGACAGATGGGCAGGCTGAGCGCACTATTCAGACATTGGAGGACATGTTGAGAGCATGTGTGATTGACTTTAGAGGTAATTGGGATGACCATCTACCTTTGATAGAGTTCTCGTATAATAATAGCTATCACTCCAGTATTGGGATGGCACCATTTGAGGAATTGTATGGTAGGAGGTGTAGATATCCAGTTGGGTGGTTCGAGGTTTGAGAGTCATCTATTTTGGGTCCATAGATCATTCATGACGCCTTGGAGAAAGTTAGAATGATTAGGGACAGGTTGGCTACTGCTTACAGCCGACAAAAATCATATGCAGACAACAGAAAGTGACCCTTAGAATTTAACGTTGGTGACCAGGTCTACTTGAAGATATCTCCTATGAAAGGGGTGATGAGATTTGGTAGAAAGGGAAGTTGAGTCCGAGGTATGTAGGGCCATATGAGATCCTACAGCGTGTGGGTGAGGTGGCCTATGAGTTAGCATTACCGACGGAGTTAGCTTCTGTTCATCCAGTCTTTCATGTCTCTATGTTGAAGAAGTGCCTAGGTGATCCAGCATCAATCCTACCTGTAGAAGGTTTGGGGGTTGGTGAAGACTTGTACTTTGAGGAAATACCTGTTGAGATCTTAGACAGACAGGTTAAGCGGCTGAGGAACAAGGAGATTGCCACAGTGAAGGTATTGTGGAGAAATCATCTTGTGGAGGGTGCTACGTGGGAGGCTGAGGCCGACATGAGATCCCGATATCCCCATCTTTTCAACTCTTGAGGTTAGGCTTCCTACTCGTAAGACTATAGTTCCTTATCTCTTCCTATTTTGTTGCTATTGGCTGATTGTACATAGCAATTAAGTTATGATCTGATTGGCATTATGATGTGTAATGGTAGTGTCATCTGGGGACGAATGTTTCTAAGGGGGGGGGGATAATGTAATGATCCAATTTTTTTTATATAAATAAGAATAAATAGGTATTTAAGGGCATAATGGTCCTTTCACATTTTAAATGAATAAATAAATAAAAACAGATTTGTATTTATTTATTTTCAATTTTTATTTGACTAATTCTTGAATTAGTCTCCTAATCCTAATAGTTTTCTCTCTCTCATGCTTCTTAACTCTCTTTCTCACGTTCTCCATCTTCCTCACATTATTTCTGCCAAATATCAACAGTTCTTCATGCTTGAAGAACTCACATAAAATTTTAAGAAAAACAAAGCAATCAAAAAATATTAAGGCGGAGAGGAGTTGTTTCTTTAGTGGTGTGGACGTTGAAGTAACTTGGACTGACTTTTGGAGAGAATTTTGGGTAGCGAATTCTTCGTTTGAACATCAATAAAGGTATGGGTTTCTCTCATGGAATTCTTTCTCCAAGATTACTTTCTTTCGAACGTTTCTTAAACTCTTGAAACTAAGGTTGTTCCCCTTTCGTATGTCCTTGTTCTTAGCTCCCTAACGAATTTGTAGGATGGGTATGTTATGCAGCTATATTCTTGCATGAATGATGTGTTTAAATTTTGTGTCTTTCGGAAAGTATGAAAGTATATATGTATGTATTTGTGCAAGATTTTGAACATGACTTTAAGTCTTTCTTTAGCATGTTAATAGATTAGAGATTACTCGTGTTGTATGTGCAAATAGAGGCTCTTAAAAGCTTGATATTCACTTGGTTGAAATGCTAGAAATTTTAGTTAAACAAATGACCAAATCATACTTTTAACTTGTCTTAAGAATCCTAACGAACGACAAATAAAGAGGTGCTTAAAAGTCCTGTAAATCTCTTCATAAAAATTTGTAACAAAGTTCCAGAATCTGGAAATTTGCTACAGGTGAAATCTGGAAATTTTGGGTGTAAAAAAAATAAAAATAAAATAGGTGAGGTCTGCAGGGATCGAACCCAAGACCTCACCAACGCCTATTTAAAAAAAAGTGCGTTAAGGGGAATTCGAACTGGGGGCTGGGAGCAGCGAATTTTCGCTAAAAAGAAAAAAAATAGGGCTGGAGGGAATCGAACCCTCGCCCCTGTCTTGTGCGAGGAAAAAGAAAAGAAAAAGGAGCTGGGGGGATCGAACTCGCGACCCCCAGCCACACGCGAAAAGAAACAAAAAAGATTAAAAAGGGAATGCAGGGGGAGGGGATCGAACCGACGACCACCGTTCGCAAAAAAAAAGGGGGGGATGCGAGGCGTGGGGATCGAACCCATGACCTCAGAGCTGAATGGGGGGTAAAATATTAAGGGAATAAAGGTGAGGCTTTGGGGGTTCGAACCCACCACCTCACAACCTCCATTCCAAGCGAAAATAAGTGAAAAATAAGGGGGGCTGTGGGGGTTCGAACCCACAACCTCCCTATTCAAGC